AAAAAATTATTTTATGTCTCATCAGGCCAATTGAGGTCAAAAGCAGGAAATTGCTGAAATGCATAGTGTGGAATAGATTTCAAACATTGTCTGGCTTTTCCGAAAGTTCAGGGGGGGAATAGAACAAGGCACAAGATATTTAGAGGCAAACCAGTGAGAACACTAGACACCATTCAACACCATGTCACTAAGGAATCCTCTTCAAGCCTATTCTTGTTTAAACTGGCCAATGCCCACGAGCGTGCACTCGCTCATTAATATTCATTGACTCCTGAGTGTAATAATAATGATGGGCAAATGTTACCATTTCTATCCCTCACTCATAGAACAATCAGTTATCAGAAATCCCTGTATGCCTTGGTATAATTCTCTGTTTAACAAGGATTTGAAAGAAAACTGTGCGGGTTTCTTAAGGCTCAGCTAAATCATACAACACTGGGATAAAACAAAGTGCTGGAATTTGCTGCAGAAGAATATTTGCACACTGTTAGTTAAATGGAAAGCAGGAAATGCTATTTCAATTGTATTATCACCTGGAACACCTTAGAATAAATACCATCGGCCCTTGTATCGTAACCCACTGGATAATACCCTTAAATCTTAAAACAGAATACATAAAAAAAAAACAGCAGAAGATGTTTCTTACAACAATGACAATTTTATTTAATCATTTATTTGAGCTGCTCCAGCAAGTGTATTTACAAATAATGGCATTTGAAGATATAAAAACGTGTCATATCATAATGCAAGTCAGCACTGTACCGTCAGAGACGTCACAGCAAATGTCTAATATTCACGCAACACAGCCAAGAAGCTAAGGGAAATGGTGGTTTAGATATCATGGTCTTCACAGCTGTATGAAGAAGCAGGTGTGGAAAGAATGAAGAAATTTATAATGGCATTTGAAGATATAAAAACGTGTCATATCATAACGCAAGTCAGCACTGTACCGTCAGAGACGTCACAGCAAATGTCTAATATTCACGCAACACAGCCAAGAAGCTAAGGGAAATGGTGGTTTAGATATCATGGTCTTCACAGCTGTATGAAGAAGCAGGTGTGGAAAGAATGAAGAAATTATGTCTTAACACTGAAGATATATTCTCTGGGACAAAGACGATGAGAGAATACAGGAACACAACTGCCTTGTGGTGAAAAACCCAGGTTCAATGAGACCTCATTCCTTTGACCTCGAATTCTCAACAATTGGGAGTTTTGCATATGAACGAAAAAAACAGACACTGGAGTCGTTTTACAAAAATAATGTTTCCTGAATTAAACCTACTAAAACTGGCCTTCTAGGTTTGTCCCCATGACAATAAACGGACGTGGTGCAACAACAGAACATTGCAGACTTTAAAATATTCCACAGGAGATTTAAAAAAAGATGTAGATGGGTTATGATTTAGCAATGATAGTGAAGTGGTGCTTTTAAGGATGGACCAGCACACATTCCTAGCTGTCTTTATGAATATTGAACCATTTAAATGTTACTCAAAATAAAAAAGCACATTTAAAAAGTATTCTGTCTGCAAATGCATTTATCTCCAGAAAAAATATTAACAAGTGTATCTGATAATGACTTTCTGACTGGATTATTTCTTAATTCCTCATTTATCTCTTATTTCTTTCGTACCAGTGGTTCCAGTGGCTAAACAACGTACGGATACATAGCATCCATAGGATCCATGTGCCCCTGTGTTATCATTTTAAAAGAACCATAGTAGCTAGCCAAACATAACCACATATCGTAATAAAGTCAAAAGCTACGTTTGTGTTGGTTACAAACTGTCGATAAGTAGATGCGAATGAAAAACATGAAAACCATTCAAGAATGGAAAACCAGGACTGGGGCAAATATTTACCCTGTGTTGTGTCTGTAAAGGCCATTACTATTGATCCCAGCAGGAGATCTCATCTTTCTCCATCTCTGGCCAAGTTCACCAGAGTAACGCTAGCCCGCAGCTAAACTGGACACTGCGCTCCTGCCGTGCTGCTGTCGATTTTTTAATTCCAGAAATAACCCACATGAGGCCTCGCAGTATGTGGTCTGCGTGCCAGGCACTTTGGACAACATCAAAGAGCCTATTAAATCACGTTAGGGTGTCAGCTGCCACCGGGGTGGAAGCAGCGCTCCGCTACTGTTTCAGTAGATCCCAGATGAGCGTTTAATGCGCACAGCTCCTTATTTAAAAAGTTAATAAATAAAAACGGCACGGTTGAAATGCACTTTAACAAAAGAAATGCCCGTGTGAGAATTCGTTTTGCGGATATAAGAAAATATTTTCATTACTTTTACTTCATGCTTAGAAAAAAGAATAATTGAAAACGTTTTTTTTTTTTTTACATAATTAACAATTCAATTGGCAAGGTATGAGCTCATTTTATTGACCGAATTAAAATGTTAATGCTGTACTACTCTAGGGTAAAAAGACAGGAAGCATTTACAAAATTAATGCAAACCATTTCCTCCCTCTTCTCCATGATAATGGACCCTTTTAAGGAGCGACGTGACCCCTGACGGACATGATATGGAGACGTACTACTGTTTTTCCCCCTGATATCATTTCAAGGATTGACTTGCTAAAATATTAACACATTACCATAAGTTATTCTGCAATGCAGTTGTTATTCGTCTAAATCAAGTTAAGAGGACTGCAGCTAGGCATTTTGTGTTCCTTTCTCCTGAATCCTGGCTGATGACTAGTACAACAAAGTGTCAAGAGCACTAAGACTGAACAATAAATAAGAAAAGGATGATTCACCAAACAAATTAGTATATTCACTCAAACGATCGATCAGTGAGGCTCCGTACTCCTCTAACAAAACATCGATTTTGGCAGCTACACTTGAGCATTTTACTTCAAGAACACCACATCTGTGTTTCAGTCCCATGTACACCTGTACACAATGTACAAAACGAGTGCTTATCTTTTTCTTTTATCTACGAAAACGCTTCAAAAATGGTCACCGTTCACCTGAGCACCTGAGTCCACGCGGACTACTCCGGTTGAGATATTAAAAAGCTCCCTCTTTATAAGGGATGCTATCAGGCAACAATTTGCCTTGATATCTAGTAGAGTCAGCAGTTGAGTCCACAGTGACGACGTTTTCCCACAATGCACGTGGAGAGATCCCTCAGACAGTCCTCTTGCTCTGTTGCTCTGACTTCTCTTTTCTGGATGGCAACACTGAAAGCAGTCTTTGTGAAAAAGAGTAATTTTCTTCCTCTGCCCCCAATTACAAGTCCCTCTCCAACGTCACATAGGGGCACCGAAAGGACACGGACCTATTTTAGTGTGCGTGTCATAGTTTAGTGGGTTTTATATGTGTACAACAGAGTGTTTTTTTTTTCGTGGGGTGGGGCTTTTGTTCATTGAAAACCATCCAGTTATATCGCCAATGGATGAACGTCTTCCTATGCGAGAAACTACTTTTCAGCGGAGAGAAAGATCTCAATGTTTCTTAAAAGTGCTCGATCACGAGTCCTCCTGTGTATTTCAGGTGTGTCACCGCGTATGTGTGGGATGCTATAAGGAGGAGAGGGAAGCCAAAAGAACCAGCGCTGAGGCCAACAAGGGCCCTACAGTCTGAATGCATCCGGCGCCGTTGACATCACCTCGGGATGGTTCTGCAGATTCGTGACTCGTTCCGTCTAAATGGTTGAAAAAAAGGAAGATTAAAAAAGGTCTGTAATACCTGAGGGTACAAAAACATCTTGACTTTACTGATAGTTTTGAATATGGAAATGCCTTTGAAATACAATACGAACCATTATTATCTTCTATAGAGTTAATGCTTCCATCATTGACCTTTACAACGCGGTCGTGACTCTTCTCGCAGTTGTCTGTGGGAGAAACATAAAACAGGGTGTTGTCAGGGTTGTGACATCATCTTTAACTCATTAAACTTTTCCAGCAGTGATAAACGATGCAATTGCAACCATGCTTTGTCAGAAGCCACACCAGGATCTCTCCTGAGGGGCTTGTAAAACTTACTTGAAGGTCTGACGAAAACTTTCAGCCTCAAGCAGCTCCGTCTCCCATTTTCACTGACTGTAGATGCTGTGGAAACATTTTAGATGGTCAATATTAGGCTCAATCGATCCATGCTGCACACTGTTTAATAAACCAAACTCATTTTTTAGCTTTAGATATATAACAGGGTTCAACAATAAGGATTTTGTTTTATATTTTTTTTACTGGCCTGGTCGAGCCAGTAGTGCAGATTTTTACATGCTCTGCCAACATTTTCATCTACATTTACATTTAGTCATTTAGCAAATGCTTTTATCCAAAGTGACTTACAAATGAGGTACAACAACAAGTAATTTATCATAAGAGACAACAATATTCACAGTGCACAATGCTTCAGGTGTGATGTAGAGTAGCCCACAGGATGGATCTGTATTTATTATATGAAGTGCCTTTGTTTGGGGTTTGGTTTTGGTTTATTTTCCATGGTGATGGGGCTACTAAACCCACATTTTTCAAGTTGCTATTAAGTAAAAAAAAAAAAAATCCTTTACATTTTTATATGAATTTTTATATTTATAAAAATATATATATTATATTATTATTATTGTTAAAAAAATTATATTTTTCACTTAACGCCAAGTTTAAATACAGTTAAATATAATTTGTGATGTTACACATTTTTCAAGTTGCTATTAAGTAAAAAAAAAAAAATCCTTTACATTTTTATATGAATTTTTATATTTATAAAAATATATATATTATATTATTATTATTGTTAAAAAAATTATATTTTTCACTTAACGCCAAGTTTAAATACAGTTAAATATAATTTGTGATGTTACTCCAGGTAAGCTATGAATGCATGCACCACTTTTCTTTGAAAATGACTGCATACAGTGCAAAACAATTTTAATTTGATTGATGCATCCAAAACAAATGATTAAATCAAGACAAAACCTCAATGTTAGCCAGCAGCAGTTAGATAATGACCATCATTTTTTAACAAGCATTCTAAAATGGTGACAACGCAACAGCTCCCCTGGCTCAAGGCCACTAGGATCATTTATTTCAGGTTTAGTCTATTAGTATATCATCAGATGCTACCTATCTTAGTCGTTTGCGGCTTTCTACATGCAAAGGCCTCATTTAAATGCTTCCATCAGCCTCAGAGGAATGCACAATCAGCATTCATTTTGTTTCTTACTGATAGATGGGAGCGGTGCTACTTTGGCTATGCCGTTTCCCTTGTCATCTCACCCATGAGCCATGTTTCTCTCCATAAAGAAAAGCTTATTAGCACTTTAAGAGGAACAGGTAGACAGCCTCTCTCTCCACTGTTCGCTCTTTATGCAGTACGTAATACAATCTTGCGTAGTCAGGAAGCGATGCAAATAAAGACCGGTGGGGTGAGGGGGAAAGAAGGGCTTGTTATTTTACCCACAGATCACACTTGACGTAAAGGTGACAAAGTAATGAGCAATGCAACGCACTTCAATAAATCTCCTTCAAAGCCTCAAAGTAATGAGCACAGACTGCACAAAATGCAATTTCCTTATAGCCAACACAATATGTTCTTGATAATTCAATTGGTGAGGCTCACTTGCACTGATGTGGACATGCATTCCACTGTGACTTTCCTGATGGAAAGAAATAGGGGTTGGATGTCTTGTTTTTCTGGTTAGATGCTTGAAATTTGGATTATTTGACAATATACTTCAGGATAAATAAGCTAAGACTAATGTCCACAGCACACATGCTCCATTAGTGGCAGGATGATGAATTAGTCTTTCTCTTTAAATTTGTTTACTGGCAGCAAATATTTATTGAACAACCTTATCTTGACCACAGACATCACTAACAGCAGTTTTTTTATTTTTTTTTTACTGGACAGCAAATTTATGCTAAACCTTTCCGAGCTCTTTTCCTAACCCCTGATGGTTGTGACCTTTCCACAAGCCTCTTAGATGTAGATTGGTCACTACATACATCAACACCTGCTACTTAAAGCTGTTCTGGCGGCTAACATCAACAGCTGCAAATGACAGATCACAGGCCGAAAGAAACACCTGCCACTAAAAGCTCTGTAATCAGCTGTGATGATACAAATGACTTCTGTCCAGTCCATAGACCATATCGCCAGTGACTGTGAACTGCTGAACCTTACACTGACTCCTCCCGTTCAAACCTCATGAGTTCAACTGTACTGGTTTTGTTGAGGAAATATATGGGTCAGTGAGTATAAGTGGCTATGATAAAGAAAAAAAAAGGGTTTTGAAATGGCGAGTTCTCAGAAATGTACTTTTTATATTTATATTGGTATTAAATTATCTAATTTTCAATAAAAATCTCAGTTTAATGACACTAAAAATGTCACAAGTAGCAAGAAAGAAGTAGTAACATTTAATTCACATTTAATTTTTTAAAAACCTATTTCTTAAAGTATAATATATGTTACTATATATGTTATATATATATATATATATATATATATATATATATGTGTGTGTATGTGTGTGTAATATTGTATTATTTAGCAAATAAAATATGTTTATATATACACACACACACACACACATTACTTTGATAAATATATTATTCATATGCATTTAAGGTAATGTAAAGAAATATGTTTTATATGTACTTGTTACTTGGGACATTTTTAGAGACATTAAACTGAAAATTGTATAGAAAATGATATAAAAGTTATATGATATATAACTACAAATATCATGGACTGTTATTCCTTAACATTAAGTTTTTTAAATATTTTACAATTTGAACTAACTTTGTCTTGTTATAAAAAGGTAAAAATATCTGATATTTTAAGAGATTCATTGATCTTTACAGTCATTATATTTAAGTCATGCATTTTGAAGTACTTTTTAAAAAAATTAAAAGATTTTTTAAAATGTGTCACGTCATTGACCCATATATCTGTTTAACACTTTAAACCACCATGAAAGTGTGAAGATGAAGCTATAACAGGATCAGTTGCCTGTAGAGGAAAGAAAAAGAAACAAGAGAAAGACATGTCGGAAGAAAATAATTATACCTCTTTTCCCCATTAGCTGGCTGGCTCATCTCTGAGCTTGCAGACATTCCCATAATGCACCATGGCTCTTCTAGCCTTGACCTCCATGATTCCCTGCTGTGTGGGGTCTCCAGCTGCACTTAATCTGCTGTCTCTCTTCTCATCCCCACACCCTCATGACTGCGGGGAGAGCTTAGGTTAAATCAATGTGCTTATGTGCTGTCTACACTGACATACTGGGGGCTTGTGAAACCTTAATCATGACCCCACAAGCATATTTCCTTTGATTTGGGTGAAATTGCTTTTGTCTCATTCCTCAAGTCTGGTCTAGTTTGGAAAGGGATCCCAGTGTTGATTGGAAACACCACTTCACAAATACGTTGTACATCACAACCTTATTGTCACTACTACCACAATAAAAAACTGCTGAGCGTGAGTGTGCAAACGGAGCATTGTATAATGTAACATCAGTATTGTCAGTGTCCAAAATTAACTTCTTGCCCAGAGACGCTAATAGGATGCCATCCCGAGGTGGGCATTTGGATATGTGTGGTGGGAGAGGGGACTGCGGATGAAAGATGTGCAGGAGTGAACATTGCTGCTCTATACAGGGATTCATGACTGATGACAACCACAGCGAACCCACAGAAAAACATTCAAAACTCAGCATTTCAGCGGCAACGTCGCAAACTAAAGAGATCTGTATTAGTTAAAACCATGACACTGATTTTTTTCTCCCCATTTTCATTCAACAAAGAAAAATCACAAATGATGTCTAATCTGAAATATGTTTTCTAAAGCTGTGTCAGAGCGTATAGCTTAATAAACTATATACTACTAAATAATACAAATAAAACAAGAGGACAACTACAAAATAAAATATAAAATTAAATAATAAAATAAAATATCAGCTTTTTGTAGCAGCAACATATACAAGATCAGTCTCCAAAGTTCAAACTGCTACCTGTCATATACAGTAAATGTGAAGACGACCCATTGTGATTTAGTCGTTCCAACTTTTCTTTTCTTGACGTTTAAAGGGACAGTTCACCCAAAAATGAAAATTCTGTCATTATTTACTCACCCTCAAGCTTGTTGGTAACCAAACATGCTGGTCCCCATTGACTTCCATAATATTTTAATCTGTACTCAACTGTTTGGTTACCAATACTCTTAAAGGGGTCATATGATGCGATTTCAAGTTTTCCTTTCTCTTTGGAGTGTTACAAGCTGTTCGTGAATAGATAAGATCCCTAAAGTTGCAAAGACTAAAGTCTCAAACCCAAAGAGATATTCTTTATAAAAGTTAAGACTAGTCCACGCCCTCCTAAAAGGTCTCGTTCAAACACGCCCCCACATGTCTACGTCACTGTGTGGGAAGATTTGCATAACACCGCCCAAATGTATACGCAAAGAAAGAAGGCGTGACTTTTATTCTCGCTGTAGTATTGTTGCCACCGCCGCCACCGACATGTCTTGGAGACGCTGTGTGAACACAACTAGAAATCAGTGGTTAAGTTGTATTTACAACACTGTTCCAGAACAGTTCAAACCAAATATTCAGATGTGTGCAATGCATTTTGCGGAGGACGTAGGAGGAGTAGCCTACAATGCCGGTGTTCCGGTGAATTCAGTTCCCATGTTTCCCCTTCGGCGAGCATGCTGACCCTATACAGTCTATGATGCTGACAAATAATGCTGACTCACAGCCTGTAAGTACGTTTTCATATTTAAAGGATTTGCCACTGACGATTCAAACGCGAGTCTTGAGCAGTGTAGAGTAGCGCTTGTTGTTTGTTATTTCTCCGATCACAAATGCAGACATGGTTTTATGTTTACGAGGCGCGATGCAACGCAATTTTTTAATTAGTAATTATAATCAGTAATTATGTCCCCACTGGATGAAACAAGTGCCTCATTTATAATGGGTTTTATTGGTTTTGTCTCGTCGCGCCGGGACACGGCATCACAGTATGGTAAGGGATGTAACATTTCCGTCACACGCTTGAGGTATTCGGCCAATCACAACACACT